TCTCGGACCAAGCTTTCCAAGAACGATTTGAACACCCTGCAGCTTTCGGTGCGATGCCCGAAATCCCGGTGATAGGAACACCTAACCTTTTGATCACGGGTGGAGGGGTCGCTCTGCATCCTGGGCGGCCATTTGAAGAACGGCTCGTGCTTGATTTTATGGAGCAACTTGAAGATGGGTTCCTTGAAAACAGTGTGAACTCCTCTGGATGAACCCTCTGGAGGGGGTAGCAATCCCTTTCGGGGAATATCTTCGCGCTCCTTCTCCTTTCTCTTAGATTGGAGGGCTCGGCCTTTGTTGCTTCCCATCTCGTCCTCAACCCTTGAGTATTTGTTTATCCGGGCCATCAGTTCCCCGATATCCGAGGGAGTCTTCTTGGTTAGGGATCGGTACAGGTCCGTGTCCCTCGCCAAGCCGAGCCGGAAAGATGCTGCTGCCATGACCTCCGAGCAGCCTTCTACCTCATTGACCTCTTCCCAGTATCGGATGGCGTACTGGCGAAAAGTTTCGGATTCCCTCCGTCTGAGTGTCAGCAATGATCCAATGTCTTTAGGGCGCTTACTCCCCGTAATGAATCGAGCCCCGGAACTGCCCAGTCAATTCCTTCCAGGACCCAATACTGTTGGGAGGAAGCGCCTCGAACCACTTCATCGCAGAGTCCCCCAAGCTCATAGGAAACACTCGGCAAAGAAATCGTTGGTCCGAATGATAGAGGGACATCATCTGCTTGTATTGCCTGATATGGGCTTCGGGATCGGACCGCCCGTCATAGGTTTTGAACCGCGGCACGACAAATTTTCTTGAGACCTCCATCTCACTGATCTCCCTCGTAAAGGGTGTTTGCATGACTTCGTCCTCGGCCTCATCCTGGACAGCCTTACCCTTTCTCTTGGTGTCTAATCGGGCTCTGAGATCAACTTTTTCCCTAGCGGGATGCCTTCTGAAGTCCTTGAGTTCGTCGGTAAGCCCCTCATTTCCCGGGCATCGTGTGGATTGGGTTGAGTCCTCCTCGGATTCATCTCCCTTCCTCCGTCTAGACAAACCTCGCCGGAGGTCGTCCAGGGCCAATTGTCTTGCTTTCCTTGAAAGGTTGTCATGGTGATGCTCGCCGGCTCTAGGTCGCTTTGGGGCCCTAGAGCTTTCTGCTTTGTTGTTTAGATGGTTTCTTAGGTCCTTCGTTTCCTCCTCCCGGGCGGGAAGCCCACGGGAAAGGAATGAATCCCTAGACCCCCCGCCAGAGGCGGCAAACTCGTCGAGCCGGCTTAGGACGTTTACATTGTTCTTTTCCAGCTGACGTAATCTATCACCAAATTTTTCTTCAATCACATCCGCTAGCTGACGAGCCAAGGGGACTGATCCCCCTGACCTGATTCCCATACTGGTTTGAGGGGTAACCCCTCTTGACCGAGTAGAGGCACTTTTATTCGTGTTGGTGTGATCCCTCCCTCCGTGATGACAGGGAGCTTGTAACTCGAGACTCCTTTGGTGGGGTCCTTTCCCTTTTTGTCGAGTGTTCACCATGGTCACTGTTCTTTATAGAGAAAAAAACTAGGAAAACTAGTCGTTTCCCACAGACGGCGCCAGATTGTGCGTGCAAGATCCTGCACAATATAAAAAACGAGAACAGATCTCTCCCTTGGTGAACTCGAGTGAGCCGGTTGAGTGACCAAACATGCTGCTTGGAACAGCCTGCGAGGTCCGATGGTAACCTAGAACGGCAATGGGAGACCCTGGAACGGCGACGGGAGACCCTGGGGGAGCGAAAGAACGATCCAGTAAGGCTGAAAGAGGTTCCTGGAACAAAGAAGAACAAGTTAGAAGGGCGCCGGAGTGTTTTCCGGCGTATCCCCTCCGACGATCTAGTCAGTCTTTGAGAAAGAGAGATGAAGGAGAAAACACTGAGTGTGTATTGTAGTAAATAGTTTTTTGTTGCATACCCGTCTTGCCTTTTGCAAGGAGTATTTATACCTCAAAAGCTCATGATTGCTGTCAGTGTAGTCAGTAGGTGATCATTAGATACAGGCAATGTGCGCACTGATTCTGATGAGGAATGTCTTCTCTTTTTAACTGCTCGGGGTCCCGAGCAATCAATGCTGGGTCATCGGGATGCCGACGGTATAATGTACTCCTCTCGGGGAGGATGCAATAAATGCTCTGTATTAGGAGCATTTATTGCCTTTCATTTCCGAGCCTTACCGCATTGAATGCGGTCTCATCAAGGGAATGATGTAATTAATAGTTTGCTTTCCCAAGTCGCGTGTCAGCAACGACATGCGGTTTCTCTGTCTTCGATGTGATATCATATGCCACGCGTCCATCCCTCATTGGCTGTGGCCCCTGCATTCCAGTACGTTCTGACACTAATTGTGTAAGACGAGGTCATGATGAATAGCCTAGGCTAGACGAGGTCAAGACGAGGTCAGTATTATATATCATTTCTCTTAGTATAATAAAAAATTGACGGGTGTATTTTTTTTTTTTTTTTATGATTTCATTTTACTTTATTGTTTTTATACTCGATGACTATGAATGAATCAAACTAAGATGTATGAGTATTAATCAATTTTGATAAAATATCATTTTTTGGGGAGGTACCATAACCTATCCATTATATAATTTCTTATGTGCCCATGGTACGTATTTGTATTTTGTGGGCTGGAACGAGTTAGTGGCCAGTGCTTTCCCCTTTTTCGCATTTACTTTCACTAATCTTGTTTTTGCAGCATAATATTTATTTTACCGTTTTTTATAATTTTTAAAAAAATAAAGGGTAAAAAAGGAAATTGAATATGGTAAGGGCAAAGAAATTACATGCTTAGAATTCTTGCTCCAGGAAATGGTGGAACAGAGCTCCAAATTTCGATATAAAACTAACTCTAAACCAAACAACTTTCATATTTCCAAATTAGAGAGAAAGGGAGAGCGGGAGCAAAAGAGAGATGCTATGAGGAACGTCTCAAATCTAGTCCACTAGTTTCGTGAAACCATCGCTGCTTTATCATCAATGAATTCGCACTATTTCCCTAGGTCATCTCCTCTTCAAGTTTTCTTTCTCTTTCTAAAATTTCTCTTCAATCAACATTATGATGATATAATACCATAGTCGGATGATCTTTTTGATTTTTCATCTATATAATAGCAAGGGTCAGAGGCAGGACCACATTGAGCACAAGGGGCATGCCCCTCTTAGTTTTTCAAACTGTTTGCGTATATATGTAGTAAAGAATGATAATAAAGAGATGACCGACTGGTCATTTTGGGTAGGATTTTAAACTAAGCAATCAAGTCATTAAACAAATGAAGAGAATCATAAAGTGATGACAAAAAATATAGTTTAAGCCTCAAACCTATCAAATTTCTTGCTGGCAGAGTAGGGTTCATGATTGTGAGTTAACTCTTTGTTTCTTTTAAAATCATATTGCTTAATTAATAATTCCTTACAGTAAACCACAACTAAATCGAATTTAATATTTTTTTTGTTGTTGTTTTGTTTGGCTCTTCGCACTTTAAAGATGCATGCTCTTCCCTTTACGTGTAGAAATCTGTTTTTGCTTTATGAATGCCTAATTTAACAAGTTTAAACCAACTTTTTTAGTTTTATTAGCAATTGATATTCAAGATAACTTGTTGAGCTACCCATAAAATAAAAGTCTCAATTAGTCCTTATATGGTAATGTGGCTCCTTCACGATGAAATCTTGGTTTCATCCCTTTCAATGGTGGTCAAACACAAATTAGAGCCTAAAACGAGAATTTCGTATGAGAACTCATTTAATATTTTAAGTGGATAATAATTTTTTTAATGATTATTAGAAGTTTTACAAAAAGTTGCAGTATGATTTATATTTAATGTTTTACTGATTTTAGAATCAGATAGGACTAGAAAATAAATTGGGTACAATTATAAAGTTAGGATCTTACAGAGAAATAAATTGAACGGAGTCTTAAAGAGATATCAAGAGAACTAGAAATAAGAATAAATAATCATAGCAAAAAAATAAGAATGGGAGAGAGAAAAAAAGTTGGAAACGGCCGGTGAGAATGGAGGAACAATTTCTAATTTTAAAGTTAGAAATCATTACTTTAAGATATTTAGATAGACTTGTAAAATATATTGAGTCTTTAACTTGATCTATTCAAAAGGGTGTCGGAACATGAAGCTGAACTAAGGACTAAAAATTAAATTGGGGTCCTGAGAGACTATTTTAATGGTCGGGCCCTAGGGTTTGTCCTGCTATACCTCCTCTCATTCAAAAGATTAAAGTATTGTGCATCTCGTAATAATTGTAATCTCTACTCATCCGTCATTTTCGAGTCTTCTTCCATAGTTTGATTGTCCCTCATTCTCTTAAATGTAATCGTCTGTATAGTAATATACATATGCTCATATATAAGTTTAATTATTATATATTATAATGTATAGTGATCACTTTTGTAAAATAGTGATCAAATATACTTTTATTTTAAAATTATTTTTTTCTTAAAAAGTAATTTTTAAAAGCATTTTGCAAAGGATCATTGTGCTTTTAATTTTCATGAAAGTATATTGGCGGCATAGAGGGTTTTTTGTATTGATCCCAAAAAAGAGTAGATGGTTCTCCACTCCCTCTTAACATTCTCTATGTGGTTAAAAATTTAAATGAATAGGGTGAACTCTATTTGAATAGATATTTATTTTTGTGAAAGAATAATAGGTAATTATTGATTTACAAGGACAGCTAGTTATTAGTTTGCGTTGAGTTTATTTGCTTATTTATTTATATATTTTTGATTGTTGATATCAAGTGATAACACTGATTTAAATATTTTTTCTTCTATCGGACATAAGTGGGCTGCCCCAATTGGTCTCAACTTATCTCCAAAGAGGATTCACTAATATTTGGTGTCAATCGAAAAACAAACTTAAGATATACATCAATGATTATCTTTTAAAATTAAATTTCTAACCGCAATTGAGAGAGAGAGAGAGAGATTGTGTGTTTTGACAAACACTTGGAGATCTTTGTTTCTAACAAGAATCAATATCACAAATATACTACTAAGGATTACTTTGTAACTGACAAAGCTCAATCCGTTTGCAATTTCTATAGTATATAATATTTACTTAGCTAGGCTTAAAGAAACTAACGTGAATACCAGTGTCAATCACAACATAAACTCCAGCTGCAACCAAAATGCTACTGAGACTCATTCCCAAAACACCTAGTCCCCAGTTGAGACACCATATTGGACTATATGTCTTTGGTTTCTTAATCTTAAGCCACATAAAACATGGATAAGCCAAAGTCACAGGTAATGCAATTCCTCCAATTAAACCAGCCACACTAGACAGGAAGGGAATTGCCACGGCAACGAAGAAACACCCGTATCCGAACATAGCCCGAATAATTACCCGAAGCCACCATGGGCATGGTTTCTTAAACCTTCTTGTGTAGTTTGACTCCATATCGTCAAACATTGGCATGCCATAGATTTGGAAGGAGCTCACTGCATTTAGTATGACAAATAAGCTTGTCAGCCCCAGAATGGACCTTGCTGTGTCTTTTCCATGAAATGCGTACAAGGCTGTTAGCATGCCACCGTTTGCTGGTATCTGTCCACATAAAACAACTACCTTTTAGATGGGCGTGGTCAAAGTTCCATCTTATTACACAATCCTTTAACAATTAAATTACGAAATTAAGAACCGAATGATTGTTAGAAAATTACCAAATGGCCATAAGCCCAATAACCACCAATTGCAAGGGGAAATAAGCACATTGCTATAAGTAGATAAGCAAATCTAACTCCCTTCCACATTGTCACGCGTGATGGATGTTTCTCACTTGAAGGCATTGTCGCCTGCAACAAATCGAATTTATCAAAGTTTTATTTTAGAAACTTAACAAGTTTTCGTTGATAGAATTTTGAGCACTGGTTTAATTTATGGGATTCTAACTTAGCCTTGACATATTCAAAATCCCTTCATCATTAGCCTTGACAATTCAACATCTTCGGCTTTATGTCATCAAAAGTCAGTCTCACTACCTCTAATGCAAGCTAATCGATGAAGTATACAATAAATAAATGATGGTTAAAGTTTGATGTTGAATCTGTTGGCCTCTTAACTTTTTTTTTTTTTTCAAAGAGTGTCAAGGGCTTCATCAGGATAAATTGACCAGTTGTCTCCTTCACATAGAATTTTAAATTGACCATAATTTTAAAGTAAATTACAGTTAATTGTGATGATTGAATCACATAATCGACGGTTCACTACTTATACAACATTTATGACCAAAAGAAAGTGCTAGCTGTTTTTTCCTGTTGTAATACATATGGCAGTTAAAACCCATAAAAGAGTAGCAAATATATTTGTATGGAATTAGCAAACCTGAATTTCGAGGATAAGATTGTGGCCTCTGAAAGCAAAAGCAATGATCCCAAGTGCATTCAAGGGGTCGAAAATCCGGCCGATGTCGGTTGTGGCTCTCACTGGATTGTATGATACGTTGGGCAGTCTTCCATGAGATACTGAAACAACCCATATTATTGTGCAATAGCCGATAGCTGTGATGGCGCCGATCAGCGACACTCCGGCAATGGAGTTCAAGTTGGGTAGCTGAGACAGAAGCACTGCAGCACAGGTAAACACCAAGTACCACTCTACAGTGGTTAGTTGATCGGGTTTACAAGCGTCACACACAGTCTGGAAGAACATCTTCATTGTTGACCCTCCGATGATGATCAGAGCCACACATGTGCCCCCTGATAGATATGCAATAGGGAATAGGGCCACAAACTTTGCCATCTTCTCACCTGAGAAAATAATTCGCATCAGTACTACTATAAACTAATTCTAGTTCATGTATATATATATATATATTAAACAGAGGTGTCTAAAGCTTACCGAAAGTTGCAGTTGCTAGTTGCATGTATCTGCTGTAGCGAATTCCGGTTTCGGTTGATTCATGGAGTTGCACCAGCAAGTATAAGGTGTAAAGTTGCCATATAAATGCTAATGTTAAGCATATGATTCCCCATGCCCTGCAACCAAACAAAAATATATGTTAATTGCCATAACCTAATCTACATTTGAGGTATGAATTGGTAAGAAACAAATATATATAGTATAAGAGTTGCGCCTAGAAAGGATTATCAAATTACCAGCCCAGAATGGTGAAGGCAACAGGGAGAATAAGGGCTTGAATTCCAATTCCAGAACAAAGAGTATGAAAGGCTGCATAGTAGGCGTTTCCATTTCTTGACTCGGTGATTGGGAGCCAAGCGTCTTGTGGGTCGAGCTTGGTGAGGTGGAGAGCCTTCCTTAAAGGACTTCCCAAAGGAGTGATGAACCGTGGTGTTCGAGACTTGTTAGGGGTTTTTTGTGCAGCTTTTTCTGGGTGGTCACCGGTGTAGAGGAGCGGCGATCTGGAGAGAGACGGGGAGTGGTATTGTGAGGGAGGAGCTGATATAATAGGCGGTGTCGGAGCTATGGACGGCGGTCGAGGTGTGATGGGGGCGGAGCTTACTTCATCAACCTCACCCATTTTTTCCTTCCAATATCTCTCTTCTCAGGCAACTCTTTCTAGTATTTTCCTCTGACGCTCTCTCTCCCTTGCCCACACAAGCTACCTCTGGAAACGTTTGGGTATATATAATGTTGGTGGGTCATGTACTGCATCTCGTTGTCATGTAGTTGCGAGAGAATTCAATGATATATGAGAGTTAAATTACACTTTAACCCTCTAAGTATGCCCCTTGTCTCACATTGTTCCTCCAACTATATCATTTCTCGCATTACATCTTTAATTATGATTTTGAGTCTTGCATTGTCCTTTCAACTTTCACATTATATTTGTAACCTTGTGTTAAGTTGTGTACTTGACACATTACTCCACCAATTTTAGACATTGAATACCTATATCTTGCTACACTACAGTTATTAGTTTGATGTTGGCCCAATTTTTGTTTTGGGATGATGTAAAATTGATTCAAGTAATTTAAGGGAAATTAAAAAAACAAAAACAAAAACTCAATAGTTGGGAGTAAAATGAGACCAAGATCATAATTGATGGGGTGAAAATATAATTTTAGGTTTAATAATGAAAGGTTGTTGGAGACTTAAAGAGTAGTGCAAGTATGTTGACCGAGTTTTTGTAGACGAGTGATGAGGACCGGCAGTGAGAGAAGGGCAAGAGTTTGACAAACTTGGCTCCTGCAGTCTTTATCCAATAATTCAATGGGTGTGGAATTTTTGGCATCCTCCAAAAGAGCGGTGATATTTGAGATTTAATTTATTGATTTAATTTATTATAATTTTAGATTAATTATGAGATTTATAAAATATTAAAATTTAATGTTGATTCAATGATTGTGCTAAAATCACATTATTATGTCAATAAATTAAATCAAATTTTTAGGTCTAAATAGTATTAGTTCTTAAAAAAGAGTCCTCACCCTCTCACCCATTGATTCCAAAGATATAAATTAAAGTTAGTCTGTGCCTTTATTGGCTTCACATTGAATTAGTCAAAAGCTAAGGTTGAACCCTTACGCGTATTCTTTCATCCCGGTCACCCTTGGATCCTGATCCGCTTAATCCTACATAGCCATGTTTTTTGCTATGCAACGATTTATGAGTCTCATATATCAATACTAAAATGAAGGAAATCTGAATAAATTACAAGCCCAAAAAATAAAACACAACAGTTGGTAGATTTTGATCAAGTTTACTCATATATTACGTTTTATAATTCGATCTCTACCTAGTTCCATTCAGACCGATCAAACTCAATGAATAAAGCTAATGATACATGATTGAACTTAATTTCAAATCGAGAAGATCAAATTTGTTGCTCAGCAAAAGCAAAAACGATAGTCATATTGCATCACTTTTTCCCCCATAGATCATAGGATTTGACCATAACCAATCTTGTGCGAAATACCAATCTTTTAACACTTGGAACAAAATTCATAATTATCTCATTCCGTCATACATGACCTAGTGGTTAAAAGTCATCCCGCCCAACATCGGTCTTATCTTCTCCATATCTTAGTGTGGTGTATGCTTTTCTGCAAAAAAAAAAAAAAGAAAGAGGAGGAAGAAGAAGAAGGTGAAATAAAGCTGAAACAGTTTCATGGTAACGCAAGAAAACAATGTGAATGAGAAGAAGAAAATGAAGGTGGTGTAAGTACTGGTAGACCCCAGACTCCTCGTTGGTCAATTGATCATAAAGTCAAACTAAGATTTTTATGCAAAATTAAAAGATGACGCATTTGATGCTTCCTGACTTTTGTAGATGCTCCTGTTATTTTCTTTTGCTTTGGCGTGGAAGAAGTAACAGACGAAAATGGTTGAATTCAAATCACCTCCGACACTGCTTGCTCTCCTACCGCCTATAGAATAGAATAGCATTGTAATTAATGGTTCACATTAGATGAACTTTGTTAATTACTGATGCTACCCAACAACCAAAAAGAAAATAAAGATGAGATTAATTCTTCTGATGCATGTAGGACCAGCAAGATTAATTCCATATATACTCTAAAAGATCCAAACATTGCGTTTAGGAAGATTGATTTAGTACCATAAAAGACCAAAAAACCTGAAATAATTAGCAAAAGCCTACATACCTTAACAATTTTTTGGCCTGCCTCCATTGGCTCATCCTCCAAAAGGGGAATGAATGGTGGTATAGATGCACTAGTTTGTCCTAACTTCTTGAAACCATCCCATCCTTTTCGTCAATTCAAAAATATTGAAATCTATATTTTTTTGGTTTAATCATACCTAACATATATTCTGCACATTTACACACATAATAAATCTTATATTTCCTACATATTCAACAAACCTTCTGAGGAACGCACACATATTGACAATTTGGGTACATCAAAATCTTACTACAGACCAGCGGTATATATATATATATATATATATATATATATATATATATATAGTTTTATTAATCATCTTACAATAGATGGACCGATAACTGCATGACTTGTCTACCATACCGACACCAAATTGTTTATAGGGAAAGAGAACAACACAAACAATTTTAAAATTCAGAGATTACATCACCATGGAAATGAATATGCCATCTTCATTCTCTTAATTAATATCCCCATTCTTCTCTTTCTTGATTTGATTTTACCATTTTCTTTTAGTATTTGATTCATCCTTGACTCTCTTCCTTGGTCCATCCAACTTATAGAATTCCATACCATTGCTCATGCTATCACCTACCTTTTAATAAACGGCCACATCGAATATTTTATCTAATGGGAAATCAAACCATTATCAGGAATTTACACTGAATTGATTTAAGTTTTTCATAAACAAACATTATGATACTGTTGTGTTACCCCATACAGTATTTGTTTTGCTGAGTACAGGCAATGAAACTGAATTTACCTATGCAAGTTGACAATACCTCAAACAAGCTCTAGCTGTGAGCTCAAGTCAGGAGGTCAATAAAGACACGGGGAACTCGTAGAACCAGGGGTAAAGCTCCCTTGGGGAGATCGTGACAGGACCAACCAGGAAACAGCTGGATGACTGCGAAAATTGAGCCCAATGCATGAAACTCTCAACCAACTGAGATTCTCTCCTCAAATCAAGTGAGATCTCATGAATAATTTGCGAAGATCTTGGCTGAAATCCCACATAATAGAGAGCAACCTTATAAATATTATGTAATGCCTCATCGAGAGGCAAGACCCTAAAAAAAACCCTAATTAGATCATGCATTGTACTACAACACATACGAATAATCAATAAAAGAAAAAGGAGTAAAAGTCTCAATTAGAGAGTGGATTAGCCGAGCTCCAAAGCCAATGAACTACTATATTTCTACCGTACAAATTCGCCTACTCCCTAAGAAACACTTTAACACTGTCATTATAAGGTTGGCATCCTAGATTCACCTTTGATCCCACGCACTCCGTTCACCCATGTCAGATTGCACCATCACAAGTAAAAATGCTAAAACTCAAAGCCACCGACAATTTACTATATTGTTAGCAGCTTCACAAAATGATATGTCCAATGTAATTTTGTAATAAAATGATTGTTTATTTGGGAGAAACCTGAAAGAAGAATTGACTTGTTGATCAAGTGTCAATGACGCGGGAAGTTTGTGAATGAGTTTGTCAATTCTGTCAGCAATTTTTCTCATGAGGCGTATGATGTAATAATTAGAAAATGAATCTTGAAAGTGTTTTTTTATGTGGGATGTTGGTTTCTACGTATGGGCTTTCTTGTGCCACGCCCGAATTTTACTCTCTATATATATATATTAGTTATTATCTATGTCTGAAGGCACAAAATAATAAAAAAAAATAGTCGATAATAAACATATTTTTATTCATATTAAAAATCAAATTATAAATATAGAGGAGAAAAAAAAAAATTTAAACTCCAGTTGTAATAGGGGCGAGCAGTGGTAGGAGACGGTGATTGTTGTGGTAGATGGCGACGATCGTGGTGATGGTGGCAGCCGTGGATAGCAAAGGTGATGGTGGTGGTTGGTTTTAAGTGACGATGGTGGTAGTAGTAGTCATGGGAGACGACAGTGATGATGGTTGGTAATGGTGACAGTGAGCAACAACAGGTTCTTCTGAGCGATAATGTGATGAGTGGTGGTAGTGGTGGTTGTATATGTGAATGACAGTGGGTAGTGGTAGTGGTAGGCCATGACAGTGGCAACAATGGTGGTGGTGGTGTGACGACGACGACGATAGTGGTGGTAGGGGGTGATGATGGGGTGGTAGAGGTAGTAGGAAAAATGGTGGGACAATAGCGGTGGTGGTGATGATGGGGTGGTGACGGCGATTTTTGTGGCAAAGTTGGTGGTGGGATGGTGGCAGCGGTGGTGGTGGTGGTAGTGGGGGTTGTGGTGATAGTGATGGTGATGGTGATGGGGGTAGTTGTGGTGATGGGTTGGCGGCGGTGGTGAGACAGTTCTAAATATTATTTTTTTTTAAAAAAAAAGTACTCAAAAAGAAGTTATAAAGTACTTTTAAAAAAGTCACTCAAACACAACCTTAGGGGTCTTTTCCTTATTAAATTTGATGTGTTAATATTAATCGTCGGGTTAACTTTAAAATAAAATTTAAAGAGATCTCAACTGTAAAAAGTAAAAGTCATTTTGTTTATTTTTTGAGATTTGAATTGTATTATACTTTATTTTATAGTAGTTATTGTTTGTACCTGAAGGCACGTAGTAGTAAAAATGGTAAACAATAAACATATTCGTATTTATATGCAAAATTAAATTACAAATATAGAGAAGAGATAAAAAAATTTAAGAATCGGTTTGTAGTAGGAATGAGAGATGGTGAACGACAGTGGAGGTGGTAGGAGACGATGACGGTTGTGGTGGGTGGTAATGACCATGGTGGTGGCGAGGGCAGCGGTGATGGTGGTGGCGACAGTGTTGGTGGCGATAGTGGCGGTGTGGGTGGAGGCGGTGGCGACAGCGACGGCGGTGGTGTTGGGGGCGACGGCGATGGTGGTTGAGGTAGAGATAGTGATGAGGAGATTTCAAACACTATTTTTTAAAAAAATATTTATGAGAAATAATTT